GGGGGGGGTATCTGGCGACGGCGGCGATATGTGCGAATCTGGCGTGCGAAGTTTTGAGCGGTATTAGGGTTCAGGCGCCATAGGCTGGTTTCTGCGTTGCCCAGAAATTTGCTAGCGAGTGGCTGGAGCCAATGGAGAGCGGGGCATCCGCGTCAGCCACAGTGCCCCTCACCAGGCATTGCACCTGCCGGCCCATGCACCTATGCAGAAGAAGATTTTAACGCGGATAGAGGGGTAAATGGCGGGGTCGGTTGCTGTCGTCACTCTGGCTCATCCTGTGCATTTTATCATGAGAAACACGACTATTTTCGCCGTCCGGCCTCACCATTTTTTCTTGGATCAGAACGGACCACACTGCAGGAACACTGCAGGACTCATTTTCTCAGGTTATTAGTCTTTGGTGACTCTTCTGTGCTTGGAAGGGCTGTTGACCATCGCGTCTTATTGGGCTGCCATCAGGCGCATGACATGCATTCGGTGAATTAGTCACGACAAGATCCGTCGATAACCTTGATCTTACTTCTTACTTACACAATTCATCTCTCGGTAAAGGAGCTTATATATCGGCGAATCACCTCTCAATATCCTCTCCAGCTCAGTACTACCTACGACCGAGGCTCATTTGATACCCCCCTTGCACCATCTCAGCGAGCAAGCTCTTCGACTTGTCCTCAGGGCATCCTTTCACAATGCCGGTCGTCTCATCAGAAAAGCTGGCCAGCTTGCAAAGGCATTCCAGCGATGTCCGAAATGTATGCCGGGTTTTCCTCGTCCGTCGAAGCTCTAACTGACAGCTATAGATTTGCATCCTGGCACACGTTGATCACGGAAAGACATCGCTCACAGACGCTCTCCTCGCCACAAATGGCATCATTTCACCAAAGCTCGCAGGTAAGATACGCTACTTGGACTCCAGGCCTGATGAACAGCTTCGAGGTATCACCATGGAGTCCTCCGCCATCTCACTCTACTTCTCTATGCTCAGGAGAAACGCCCCAGATGCGGCACCGGAAGCTAAGGAGTACCTCATCAACCTCATCGACTCACCTGGCCACATTGACTTCAGCAGTGAGGTCTCCACAGCATCTCGACTGTGCGACGGCGCTGTCGTTCTGGTTGATGTTGTCGAGGGCGTCTGCAGTCAAACAGTCACAGTACTACGCCAGACCTGGATCGAAAAGCTGAAGCCATTACTCGTCTTCAACAAAATTGACCGACTCATCACCGAACTCAAGATGACGCCAAACGAGGCCTATGTCCATCTCAGTAAACTCCTGGAACAGGTCAACGCTGTGCTGGGAAGCTTCTTCCAAGGCGAGAGGATGGAAGAGGATCTCAACTGGCGCGAGAGGATGGACGAGCGGGTTAAGGCTGCTGCTGAGAAGGAGTCTGGCATCGCAGAACGAATCAATGATGCCGGCGAGCTTCAGTTTGAGGAGCGCGACGACGAGGACCTCTATTTCGCTCCAGAACGCAACAATGTCATTTTTGGCAGCGCCGTAGACGGCTGGGCATTTACCGTTCGTCAATTTGCCAGTCTGTACGAGAAGAAGCTGGGCATCAAGCGCGGTATCATGGAAAAGGTCCTCTGGGGCTCTTTCTACCTGGACCCGAAGACGAAGAAAATCCTCGGCCCAAAGCATCTCAAGGGTCGCAACCTCAAGCTCATGTTCGTGCAGCTTGTTCTTGAGCCCATTTGGGCCGTCTACCAGGCCACGACAGGCGGAGATCATGGAAAGGGAGACCCCGCTCTGCTGGACAAGATCACCAAGTCCCTCAACCTGACTTTGCCCCCTCACATCATGCGGAGCAGAGACCCAAGGTTAGTGCAGAGCGCCGTTTTCGCCGCATGGTTGCCTTTGTCTACCGCCCTGCTTGTCTCTGTCATCGAGTCACTGCCCGCACCGCCAGCCGCCCAAGCTGCAAGACTTCCCGAGATGATTCAAGAGTCCCCTGGTGGCGACCATGTCAGCGATGATGTCAAGGATGCAATGGTGTCCTTCAAGACGGAAAAGTCAGACCCCATCGTTGCCTACGTCAGCAAAATGGTCTCCATCCCAGAAAGCGAATTGCCGCAGAACAAGCGACGTGCGGGACAGCTTAGCCCAGAAGAAGCACGAGAACTTGCGCGGAAGAAGCGTGCCGAAGCCGCTCGGGCTCAAGCTGCAGTCGGTGGCGACAATGCCGTCAACGACCTTGGTACCGCACTCGAGGAAGTCGACCTCGACAATTACGCTCCGAAGCAAGAAGAGAAGGAAGAGGACCCAGAGCATCTGATTGGCTTTGCGCGCATGTATTCCGGCACGCTCTCTGTCGGCGATGAGCTTTATGTCATACCTCCAAAGTGGTCGCCTGCGAATCCACATTCGCCTGAGCCGCACAAGATTACGGTGACCGCCTTATACATGCTGATGGGCAGGAGTCTGGAGGCTCTCGACTCTGTACCGGCGGGCGTTGTGTTTGGCATTGGAGGACTGGAGGGCCACATTCTCAAGTCCGGAACCTTGTGTAGTCGACTGGAAGGCGCTGTCAACCTCGCTGGCGTCAACACGCTAGGCAAGCCCATTGTTCGCGTTGCTCTTGAGCCTGTCAACCCTGCTGATCTCGACAAGATGATTCATGGCCTGCGATTGCTTGTACAGAGCGACCCATGCGCCGAGTACGAGCAGTTCAGCAGCGGAGAGCACGTTCTCCTGACAGCAGGCGAGCTTCACCTTGAGAGATGTATCACGGATCTCCAGGATCGATTTGCCCACTGCGAAATCCAAGCTGGCGCCCCCATCGTACCGTACCGCGAGACCATTGTCAAGGCAGAGGAGATGCGTCCACCTGCGAACAAGGACCTCGGCCGTGGTGTCGTGGTCGGTGTGACATCGTCCAAGCAGGTGTCCGTCAAGCTCCGTGTTCGGCCCCTGCCTGCCAAGGTGACCGACTTCCTCTCGAAAAACAGTGAATGCATCAAGCACTTGTACACAGACCGCAAGGTCGAAAATGGCACCAGCGAGGAGACGCAAGCTGAAGAGGCCGACATTGACACCGACATGGCCGCCGGAAAGACCCTGTCGCAAGAAGAATTCAAGGAGCAGCTCCGGGCCCAGCTCGAGTCTGGCAAGGGCCGCGAGGTCTGGAAGAATACGGTTGAAAGAATCGCCGCGTTCGGCCCGCGCCGGACAGGCCCAAACC